AACTGGATAATCGAGACAATGTCTTTCTTTTTTTTTTGATTGTACCGACTTTAGTAATGATGATCGAGGCTAGGCCTAAAATTCAAAAGCTATCATCTCGGTTCAGAGTGGATCAATTTTCAGAAAATTCCCTTTACATTATCTAGTTTTTCACTATTATAGTGAGAACTGCCAGCTCTTTATCTAATCTCCCATAATGCCTCTTTATATATGCATTTTTTAGATATATAGCAGATCGTTCTTACTATAATATAGTTCCGAAATAGATAATGCAAAATAAATATTATTGAAAATTTCAGTCAAATTACTTCATTCTGAGCGAAGTTATCACTGATTGAAGTTTTGGCAAGATGTAGCATAGCTTGTTTATTATGTCAGTAACGGGTACTTGCTAATCGCGCCCACGTCTCCATTCAACGTGTTTCAGTCCGTTTAAAACCCCGCCATCCGATAATCTAGAGAGTTAATTATGGGCTTGCAATGGGCATAAATAAAGACTTGAAATAAGAAAAAATTAGCTTTTACATGATGCATATTTTAGAAAAATAGTCACCATAAAGTGTCATATTGTAAGCCAACTAACTACTTTAAATGAACAATTATGATAGCTTAAAGATACATTATGGGAGATAAGATAAAGAGATGGCAGTTCTCGCCATAATAGTTAAAAACTAGATAGTGTAAATGTAATTTGCTGACAATTTCAGTCAAATTGATCCACTATGAGCCGAGAACGAAGCGGGTGAAATTTTCGCATAGTCTCGGTCATCATTACTAAAATCATTAATATAAACAGCATAGTCTCGATTATCCATTGTTTTGATTTAATTATCAATAACCGTTAAGCGGCATATATGAATCTAATCCAGCCAACATCGAAGGCTAGCCTTGACATCGAGAGTTTATTATGGTCTGGATAAGTTAATTAATGTCTAATTGATAATTTAGATAACATTTCAGGCCTAAAGAAAGATTTGTAATAAGCAGATTTTGCTCTTGCATAATGCATGTTTAAACAAATGTAATGCATCTATACTGGGCGACTGGGAAGTTAACCCGATTCATTCTACAGTGAACGAGCTACTTAAAATATCATCTAAATGGTCATAATTTAATGAATAAAACATGGTGTTTAATGATTACCACCTGATTAAACTATTTATGTTGTTTCCAATACAACCTATAACCACTCTATAGCATTTGTTTATAAATATTAATCGACTGTTCAACCTCTGGTTTCCTCCCACTGCTGTACACCCCTGCGTGCAAGCGAATTGTTGAAATAATATTGAAGCAAATGTTAGTCCCGAATTTACCTAGTTTATGTCGAGTGGACTTTAAACGCGCTCTCTCTCTCTCTCTCTCTCTCTCTGGGGGGTTGGACGGCTGAATAGTTAGCGTGCGCGCGCTGTATCATAAAGTCTGTCATTGAGTCGAATGACGTGGTTTCGAATCCCCGGTTGTACGTGACAAGGAGTAGGGTCGCCTGTCCAAGTTAGTGGGTTTTCTCCGGGTTTTCAGTGTATGATATAACATTTCAGTGTCTATAAGTATAGCAAAAAAGACGATAAAAAGACAACAATGTTATACGGAACTTTTCCGTATGAAAGCTGTTCGATACGTGCTGTCGTATCCGTGTACCGTATCACGTATGAGAAATACAAAAACATTGATGACGTCACAGGCACAATCCACACGAATACGCGATACGAAGCAGAAATTTACGCTTGCCAAAAGTCTCTATTGTTTCAGAGTCTACATCCGTCCTAGCTAATTAAAAGTTTGCTTAGTGGGTAGTGGGCCACCACGCTGGAAAATACCAAACAACTTTCTCGACTAACACCAGACTCGAACCCACGTGGATAGTGACTGGCCCCGATCTTTTACTATAGGAGGAACACAATGTTCCACTTTTAAAATGATAAAGTTTAAATGTTTTGTTCTTCTCTTTCTTTAAAATACTAAGGAGCTTGATGGTCGGATGGTTAGCGCGTCGTTTCGATTCCCCAGGTAATACGTGGCAAGGAGTAGGTTCGCCTGTTCAACCTCGTCGGTTTTCACCGGGTCCTATGGTTTCCTCCCACTGCTATAGGCCCTATGCACAAGCGAATTATTGAAATAAAATTACGCCATATGTAAGTCCCGAAATGACCTAGTTTGTGTCGAGTGGACGTGAAATCCCATCTCTCTCTCCCTCCCTCCCTCTCTCTCTCTCTCTCTCTCTCTCTTTATAAATATTAAGGCTCGATTTCACTTGGCATAAAAGGATGAAATTCGATTTCAACCGAACGATATCGTATTTAATCTTCAAATGGCATTTAGTAACTGAGAAACACATGTACAGAACACGATGGTTTCATTCCAAAAGTACGACGTTTCGATAACGCTAACAATAAGTTGATACTTGTCGAAACGTCGTACTTTTAGAATTAAATCACTGAGTGTTTCCCCATAAAAATTGTGTTCTGTTAGATATCTCATTTCTTCCACCGAGTATTTCCTTCACGACGGATTATTTCTAAATGCCACGAGGGCATTCGATAATAAAATAACGTCTTTAACTGGCTTGTAAAATTATTACTGTGTTTCTGGAAGACACTCAGAATGGTGATATTATTACCCCTACATTAAAAAGATTAATTTGAAAACGTTTTTCGGCCATATATTTTTTGGGTAGAGAGTACCTTTGCTTTTTGACGTTCTCATATTTCTTATTTAGCTTCCATTCTGAAATAATCCCTGCATTGGACGAGGTAGTTCATTGTGATTTTCCGACGTAGTTTCACCTTGTCAGTGGTGCATGACGGACGGCCTGACTAGGACAGCTGTCAAGTCGTTCGGATGGGGCGAAAAGTCAAGGTCCCGTGTATACTTTGGCGGGTACCTAAAAGCTCTCTTAGCATTTTGATACAGGACGGAGGGCCTGTAGGCGTTTGCTCAATGCGTCCCAACGCTTCCCTACACACACCAATAATCTTCTTTTCCCCCAAAACAGTGACAATACATTTAGAGGAAAATACAGTTTATTGACATCAATACTGGAAGGTACACCTATCTAGGAGACGTAATTTTAGATATAGACGGAGTATATTGGAGACGATTAACAAGTTGTCTACTACCAAGATTCCAAAACAAGTTTATAATCAGAGAGTACCACAGAACGGCTTGTACTATTTAAAAGGACGAAAAAACGAGGTCCCGTGTACACATTGCCGTGCACGTAAAAGATCCCTTGGCAGTTGGAATTCGATATAAGAGTAGGCCGTAGTGCCGCTGCCGGACAAAATTTCCCTCATAGTACACTGTATGGCGTATGCCCGTCTTCATTAGCCCAGGTTAGGAGCAGAACAGTATTACGTTAAACCCCATTTTATTTCATTTCCATTCTGAAAATATCAGTGACAAATGGAATTCGATGTAGCGTAAACCCGTACCTATGTCATCACATTGGTTACCCTGCTACTTCTAGGATGTTTGGCAGACATGCGCTTTATCTTCCCGCCGTTTTAATTTCCCTTTCTCTGAATTAATCCACCGCCATCTCGAACGAGAAATGCCTGTTTACTCATAATCTGTCAATTTAAACGCGAAGGGGTCTAATCTCAACTAATACCTCATACTGCCCTTGGCTCTCGTTTTGTACTCGAAGCTTGACGAAGACACAATCAGTTAATCTTAACAATTACGCTTAATGTGGTTGATGCAAAGCCAGGAGAGAGAGAGAGAGGGGGGGAGAGAGAGGGAGAGAGAGAGAGAGAAAGGGGGAGAGAGAGAAAGGGGGGAGAGAGAGGGGGAGAGAGAGAGAGAGAGAGAGAGAGAGAGAGAGGGGGGGGGGGGGAGTTTAGTGCCTACTAGACACAAACCAGATCATATCGGAACTAATGTATTGTTCACTTTTATATCAATTCCTCCTATCGCGGGTAGAGGTTGTGGCAGGAAACCGGAGGACCATACGAAACCCTATTGGGTTGGGCAGGCGACCCTACTTACGCATTATCACGTACAAGCGGGGCATAGAAACACCACCACTAGACCCAATAACCTACCATGATCTAACACGTAATTGAAATTTGCCACAAATATCACATACTATATTAATCTTAAAAAACAACGAATGAAAAGTAACAGGTTATACATACATTATATGGAATTGTCACTTCTAATAATAAATTGTTTCAATGGTATTTTGTAATTGAACTGGAATATACAGGTCACAATTCTATGGAAAAAGTATTACTGCTTGATAATGACTAGAGAAGCCTAGTCGCTCAGTAATAAGCAGTACTTGTATTCCATATAATTGTGACCAGTATATTCTAATAGTAATTTGTTTGAGACTAAATGTACTCTATTTTACCGAGATTTCGTCCAATAGTTTGGATGCAGCTATGGCGGGTGTAGCGCCAGGCAGGGTAAGCTTACTCTTCCGGACACCTGTTACCACTGTTTGTCGTGTATTTTGTACACGATGAACAGTCCATTAGCTGATTACACTATTTTGCCTATGCCGTTCTTTTGGGACTTCGAATTTTGTGTGATGGTTTGGATTGTTCGTACTTGGTTTTATTTTATATATATATATATATATGTGTGTGTGTGTGTGTGTGTTTGGTTTAATGATCTAGAGCGAGACATTAATTAATGTATCTGAATAGTGCATGAAGACCATTAAAAAACGTAAAATACAGACACTATCCCGCATGTACATTTTAGTGAAATCGTCACGTGGGTCCAATATGTCAGCTAGTATAAATAATGCACGATTGGCAAGTTGCTCGTACCAGCGTTTGAAATAACGGTACGCCAACATCAACGGGTGCTGTCACGACTGTATTTTAAGCATCATGACCGAAAAGGGTAACGCATAGTATTTTGAAGAGAATAAAATAGGCTATAATTCCATGGTATTGAATCCCAATCAGTAAGGAATTCGTCCATTTTGTAAATTCTTCATCAACATTATATTATAAGCTATTTAACGTTTTTTTTTCTATTTTCAGGCCTTCCCCCGGAACTGTACAGCGTCTGGGAAGCGTATCCATGGAGATTTGGCGAGGCCTTTTGTATCTTTAAATCATTCTTCTCGGAAATGACATCATACGCGTCTGTGTTGACCATCACTGCCTTTACAGGAGAACGTTATGTCGCTATCTGTTATCCCATCAAATCACAGACCTTTTCCAACTTACGACGCGCTGTTCGTCTAATATTTATCATCTGGTTTGTGGCTTGTATTTGTGCGCTACCTTTTCCTATTCACACACGACTATTCTACTACTTAAAATATCCAAATACAACCCAACCTATTTCCGAATCCCTACAGTGTAACATTCCGCTAGAATGGATAGACTACATGAAGTCCATGTTTCAGATTTCATCGTTTGTATTTTTTGTGCTGCCAATGGGGATAATTTCCATCATGTACATCCTGATCGGATTAACTCTCAAGCGATCCCACTTTAACAAGAACTCGGCAGATGATTTCTGTAAACTTGAAGCTAAAGAAGCAGCTAGAAATGCTGTTATTAAAATGTTAGGTAAGTATAGCCAGTAGACAGGTGTTTATTTTACTGAAAGTACATGAAGTTACTTAAATTAACCCCTCTAGCCCTGCCCAGTTATTTCATTGATTGACCCCCCACCACACACACCACCATAAGTAGCTTAAATCTAGAATTAAATCAAATCCGATAGCCGGTAGACAGGTGTTTATTACAAAGTTCTCTCATGCCTGCACAGTTACTTAAATTAAATTAAATCCCCTGAGAAGATTCCTCTTTCACAGAATTCTGTATCTTGTAATCCTTTAATATACATTCCCGCGTACAAACTGGGTGATTTAATGGTATATATAGACTAAAACATATTTAAACTAATTAATTTGTCATAATTTTGCTTCAAATCCTTCCCAAACATTGTAATTGCGAAGGAATGCCCTGCTATAAAAATTCGATCAAACCAGGTCATGTTTGTACATCAAGCGCTCAATGTTCGCGTGTGACCTTTGACATCACGCGTGCAGAAATTCCTAATCGTCGGGCTGTTGATTAGGGGAACCCTTACATTTTTGTCCTGTATATGCTCCATGAGTGTTTTTCGGGGAATCCAGTATTTTTCTAGTAAGATTGGATATCTCCATTTTCCATATATGCCAAAATTGACGTACTTTTATTGGAAATAACTTCCCGATAAATACTTTTCTGGGAACCCATCTTTAAGACAAAAATGTATGTACATTAACAGTTTAATATGTGTTTTGTAATCTAATATAAGTTTAAAGGATTACAATTCCAAATGGGTTAATCAAAATTAAATTAAATTAAGTTTCGCGCCATCTTGATCTTGGCTATCTTCATAAGTTGTTGAACCTTTAGGTAGTTTCGCTTTATGATGTACAAAAAATAGCAAAGTGGATCTTCACTCTGAGATACGCCCACGATAGTCGGCCATGAAATAATAAAAACAGATAAATCGAATTTAAAAAAAACTCGGGACAGCTGAACAATAATTCATGTTCTGGAGTGGCAAACACCAACCGATTCTGAAATTCGAGTGTCTGTATTGCGTGTACACCTGTAGGAAGAGAGACGATGGAGCGACAATATATTATCCCCACGTGTGGGGGTGTTTAAAACTTTTCTGGCATTTATAGAACATGTGGTCGTGAAACGCTTCAGACAAATGGCAACATGAAACACAAATCTGTAAAAAGTGAAAATAAACAAGCTTATGGTTGAATGTTCTTAAAAACAAATTGTTTTACTAATAAGTTCGATTTAATATAAATTAGCGGTTGAACCGGCGTAGCACGGGTTTAGCTATGAACTGAAGTAAAATAACTCCTAAACGGAAATGGGGATCACGTGACTAAGTGGGTAAGACGCTGGCTCGCTAGCCTGGAGGTCGGGTGTTCGATCTCTGCATTGGCCGAGAAAGTTCATCCAGATTTTCCGGCGTGGTTTCCCCTTGTCAGTGATGCAGGACGGAGGGCCTGACAAGGACTGCTGTCTAGTCGTTCGGATGGGATGAAAAACCGAGGTCCCGTGTACACATTGGCGTGCACGTAAAAGATCCCATGACAGTTGAAATTCGATATAAAAGTAGGTCGTAGTGCCGCTGTCCGGGCAAAATTTCCCTCATGACACACGGTATGGCGTATGCCCGTCTTCATTAGCCCAGTTCGGAGCAGAACAGTAGGAAGTTAAACCCCATTTCATTTCATTTCCTAAACAGGAAGTGGTACTCCATCGCCACCAGGACTATGTTACTCCCCGGTCCGAGCTACCCCTATTATACACCAAATTTCAGCCTCGCAGCACAGCCCTAGTGTAGGCCGCCAATACACAAACGACAGTCACGAATATTGATATATATTTTCCACACAGTTATAAATTTACCACGGTACTTAAAAATTGATATTTTAGAATAGCAAACGATTGAAAATAAAAGCTAATCATGGGGAATGGTTATGTGCAAATTGTTCGTAAAATTGTGAATTTCGTCACTCTTTATATTCTTAATAACGAACCAATAAACATTATTTCCTTCGTTTCCCTGTTAATTTACACTTCAAATCGTCTTTAATTTACTTGAAAGACAAAATCGATGAAAATCTTCCCGCCAATTACTCAAGTTAATTTCTACTTCAAAGTTGCTATTTTTATCTATACAAACCTGGTGGAACTATCGGTAAAGACGAATAAAACAATTTACTTCTACGACAGTGTTAATCGACACCATGTTTAATGCGTTTGTCCAATCCAATAGGATAAATGCAAAGGGCGGAAACCTGGTGGCTGTGGATTGCTTGTAGGTATAGTCTGAACTAGGATTAGGCCTTAGAAAACTATTGTAATGTCGTTCGCTGTGAATTTGTTTGAAGCTTAGATGTGATGCCGCCGAATAAAATCCTTTAAACCAATATACTTATCACGTAAAATAATATCAAAGAATGTAGCCTCGATCAATTAATAAAGAATGTAGCCTCGATCAATTAATCTTCGTAACATAATTATTACCGTCAAACAATACAGAGAGAGAAAGAGAGAGTAGAAATATGTTTGCTAGTTTGTACATTATTTCCAGTGCGGTATTGAGAGGGAGAGAGAGAGAGAGAGAGAGAGCTTAATGCCCACTCGACACAAACTCGGTCATTTCGGGACTGACATATGGTTCAATCTTATTTCATTAATTCGCTTGCGTGCGCGTAGGGGTCATTAGCAGTGCGAGGAAACCGGAGAACCCGTAGAAAACCCACGAGGTTGGACCCTAACGCTTCACCTTGTCACGAACAAGCGGGGAATCGAAACCATGCCACTTGACTCAATGACAAACCTTATGATGCAACGCACACTCTTTAACCACCACCCACACATCCCACCCCGCACCAATCCACTGACTTAGCGAATATTGATGGATTGTCTTGTGGGGGAGTTCACATCTATTCATATCAAGTAATTCATTCATGAAATACGACAGTTTGGTAAAAGTTTCCAATACTTCTTTTGAGTTTTTACTAGCTTGTGCAATGATTCGTAGAAATCTTTGTTAAAGTGGCACAGGAAGACTTGCATCAATAAATTTGAAAAAAATATAAAAGTGCCTAATATATATTTACAATATTTACTAATTTTATAATTGAAAGGTCAGTGTAATTTTATATAATTCAATATGTTTTGGGATATTGTCTATCGGCATCAAGCAATGCTAGAGTAGATTTGTGGAAAATCTAAGCCGAGGTATATGTTTGAAATATGATTATAGTAGTTACTTTACGAACGTCTCTCGTCGAACGATGTACTCTGACAGTTCCTATCCTTCCCTATATACATGTAGCTGCAATATGAAAATACCGCTCTTCCCAACCTCTGTTCTAGGGCTATTTTGGAATCCGTGATTCTTCTTTGTCCGCCAAAGGAATCATTTCTTGCCACAATTGACACAAATTTGTAATAATTTAAGACATAATGTCGAGATTAAAAACATACAAAAAAAACGTTTGAACTGATTAGCCATTAGGTGACTCGAACATGCGCAGACTGCATGTTTATTTAATTGCTAAATTCTACATGGAAATAGTGTTAGATATCTGTGTACGAATTGATTCCTTTCGGCGAAAAATAAAGGATCACGGTGTAAAATAGAAGTAAAGATTCCAAAATAGCCTTAGAACAAAGGTGGGAAGACCTGTATTTTACAGATTCCAAAATAGCCTTAGAACAAAGGTGGGAAGACCTGTATTTTACCGTATTTTCATATTGCAGCTATATAGGAAGGAATAAGAAGTGTAAGCGGAAATCGTCCGATGAGAGACAGTTCCTAAAGGAAATATAATTATAGCGTTGACAATCACATTGAAACCCCCTACTGTAATTTGCTTGGTAAGTTTTGTATTGTTTATGTTTTGTGGCTCTCAACATTATTAGCCTATGCACATGAGATTATTGTAGTAATTACATGCGGTTTTTAATACCGAATCGGTCTCTGAAGATTCAATTTAATTAAATATCCTAGATGTTTTTAAAACGATTTAAGTATTACGCTCCACTAACGACACCAGCCTAGTAGTAATTCAATTAATTCCGACTCAAATGTGCCAACGTCTTCATTAACCCAGTTGGTGCAGACAATTATGACGTAACACCCCATCTAATTCTGTTTAATTATTTGTCTTTTCTTGGAATAAAGCTCTATCGATGCATATACTAGGCTAGTCGTTAGCTTGATTTGGTGGGCGTCTTCATTATCAAGAACACAGATCATTAAGATAATCAATTACAGTAAAAAAAACCCGAACACATTAGCAAGACATTAAACACAGCCAACAAAAGCTCATTCAATAAATACTAAAGATGTTATCTCAAATGCCAACAAGGCCTAAACAGGAATGATCAAATAAAATTCGCGAAAAGAAAACTTGACGGAAAGAAAAAAAAACATAATTTAATATCGACCTCTAACAGAGTTGGGAATCGTATTAAAGATTTTTTACCAGCTGATGCGAGGGTTTGATTTCTTGGCATGTAATAGAAATAGATGTGATGTAAATAGGACAAGAGAACGCAGTTAACAATACAACCAACAACGGATGAATCTAAATTCACAGCTGGAGAGATTAGAAGGAAAAAAACATCTTAACAACCATTTGTCAATTTTAATTCCCATTGTTTTCATTGTGCCAGTAAACAGGACAAGATTGATGGTGCATACAGTTGTATTGTTTACTGGGAGACCAGCATGATTGCCTCGAGATCTGATAACAAAAAAAAAAACAACATAAGATGAATCATTTACGATATTTCTTAGAAATCGGCCATAAATTGCGTAAAGGGTGTATAGCTATATCCTTTGGAACTCGATCTTGAAGCACACATTAATGTAATATAAAGTATACATCATTTATGCTACGGTCCCTCTACGATTGTCCCTATGAAGTCCACGATCTGGTACCTGGCGATTCGATCGGATACGCTTGGATGCGATCAACACGATTGCTACGATTGACCACAATATATAATATATCGTGCGATGCTTTACGATAGGATGGTCCATGCG